GTGAAATAAACTCCAATCAGAAACAAAAACCATGTTGATTTATCTTATTACATATAGCCATTAAATTAAATCATTCTCAATCTAGAGTTGGTATATTTACACGTGTCGTCACCAGTAGTGGAGTGTGAGTATCGGCGAGTATATGAGAAGCAATTTCCCGACAGAGGTAACAAAGTAAGCGAGTGACCGACCGCCATATATCGCGCGGTCAGATAGACTAATGTAGATTCCACATTGTATTGTTTTCTGCAGTATTTTTTTAAATCACTGTCCTACATTTAGCTTTACTTCTGTGTCTTAGGTGCATTTACAAATACATTTTGAGGCACCTACACATCAAATCGACACTCAATTAGTGAATCACACAAAGAGTTCTTCTGTGCGGGAATCGCAGCCGACGCATTGCTCTGCAGCCAAGCCAGTTGCCGCGTTAATAAAACATACTGATGAAAGTTGTGGCTTTAAATTCGGCTATATTTTTTATAAGCAAAGGATATATAGATATCCCAGGCGTATAAAAATAGATTACCATCGGAAATTACTCTAGTGATCTGCTTTGAAACATAAAATTAATCAATCTTCAAAGTGTCTTTAAATAAAGTCCTAGTTCAAGCTAGCTAGCTAGTCGTATCCTCACAATCCTATTGTTCAGTTGGGCAGTAATTGGCGCTATCAGAGTGCGGGCCACGGCGCCATAAAGAGGTGAAGTGAGGTGGGCAACCGATCGACTGAGCTCTCCGACTATATTGATACCCAAACTATATTTCTGAACGTCGAATGTGAGCATAAACCACTTTAGTTGTTAAAGAACATTGTTACGAAGCAGAGAGTTGTTGTGAAGACTGTTTTAGTGTCTGTTCAATGAATCTGTTGATTTATTTTGATCTGAATGATGTGTCAGTTTTTTAGTGACTGTCGCATGTAGCTTATGTAGCCAATCACCACGCCGAACCTTTACCAGAAACCAAAGGCCGGCAGGGCGCCTGTGACTTCTGTGGTGCCGTAGCCATGTGTGGCGCAGATCGTATACCATCAAGTGATCCATCATTTGCTAGTTTGGCTCCAAATCCATAAGAAAAACAAAAAGTTATGTTGCCTCCGTGTATTTTTTTTTTGTTTAATACTGTATTAACTTTTATTCGGCATTTTAATAGTTCCTTGTTTTATTATAATGATGACGTTGCAGGTGCCAAATGAAAGCCAGCGTAGCTGAGAAACCTATAACCGTTAGTGAAAAGTCTAAAAACCCAACTTATGTACCTGCAAGCCTCGAACTGAAGTAACAAACCACTCGAAGGGCGAACCACCACAATTTCTATAGTCTTTAAATCGCACTACATTTCCCCTTTGCAGGGCGATCAGAAAGTAAAAGGCGGACAAAGTGAACGTGTGCGCCATTAGTGGAAGAAAAACGGTTGTCCCTTCCTTAGGTAGCACCCTACCTTTATAAGAGCGGTCGTGTGTCGGTTAACCGGACGATTTGTGGACCCAATTGACTATCAATGAATAGTAGCCACTACTTACCTCCGTACCGTTTTATGGACTGCTATTAGGGTAGATGTGGTCAACTTAGGGAGTGCAGACCTCACTTGTCATTGAGACGAATTCATTTTGCTAATGAAGAAAACAAGGTCCGTAATAAACAGCTCAAGATCAAACAGCACAAACATCAATGCTGGTTATTGATAAAAATCTTAAATAATATATGCAGACTGGCTGTTTGCATATATATCTAAATATACTATGACCATAATTGTGAAAATGTAATCCTTCCTCACAACACAATACAATGTTTCCAATTACAAGCGAAGCATTCAAGCCAATAATATGATTTCATTTCCCAAAAGGACGAGTAAATAAAAATGTGTAATTTAAGTTGAGCAGGTTAAAGTATTGAAGACGAGGAGTGTTTCCCTCGAGTGCCGTGCTCGGTGAGTGCTCCACTTAATAATATTTTTCACCTTGTTTCGTTTTCCAATTTTCCGCAAGTCACTCTCCGGGGTAACGGGCCGTGTTTTGATTTAGAAATGCTTCACCAGAATGTACTTTATACGAAGCGGCGACGACACGACTGCGGCGGGCCGTGTCACACGTTTTCTCTTTGTAAGATTATATTTTCTTGGAAATCAAGTTACGTAACTTGTTTAATTATTTTAATTATGACTTATATAATAAATATAGCTTTTATCTTGATGAACACTTTTTATAGTTCTTTTAATGGTTGTTTTGTGTTTTACAAGCAGTAATAATATTGAATGTATTGCGTTTTTTAAATCAAAAACCAATTCTAATGTGAAAAAGATCGCGTCGTGTAAATGATATTTTAAAACTTGTTTACTTTTGTCGTTGTTAGTTACTTTTATTTTGTAACACAATAGTACTTGTATTATTGACATCAAGGCATAATAATGAGTTTAAAGATTGACAAACGTTACTAACTAATGAGTTAGATAAAGTTATTTTGCACCCGTTTTAAGTTCCAATTTCATATGCCACTCAATCTTCATCATAATGTTGATAATACAATGTTCTTATCTACAAAAGCTTCAGTAACATATAATTTTACTAAGAGGTTCTCACGTGTACTACATATTATACCTACTTATATTTATAGATGTGTATCATGTGATATTGCTCAGATATCATTTCATATATTCCGCCCTGTCCTGTCTTCCTGCTTGACCCCACTTGTTCCAATCTAATTTCGTCCCTCTCACAACTTTGGCCAATGTTTGTGTACAATCGTCAAGTGTTTAGCTTCATGTCATCTGGTGTTTTAACACCTTTTCTTAAAAGGCAAATATAGATAAAAATATGCATTAGAAAAAGCAGGAGAAAGATAAGGTTCGTTTGATTAATGTCACCAATCTGTCTTGACAAGCTGTTTGGTTTTGATTGGTATTATGATACAATTCAAATATGGAATTTAAAACGTTTTCCAACTATCAGGAAATTTCAGAAGTATGTGACTGAGTTAAAAAGAAATTCTCAATACTGAATGTTCTCATAAAAGTCTCGTTCTTAACTATATTTTATCTCCGAGTGTTCCAACATTGGTTCCAAAGTTGGCTGTCCATAATAACTTTTGTGTGACACAACACGAGTGCCGGGCAAAGACGCAGGTAACTGATGGAAAATCTAATTTAGTAAATTGAATTACTCTGTCCGACGAATGAGGGAGATACGTTACGTTATGGTCCCTTAGCTCTTTGTCGTCACAAATTATTGTAAAAGATATGATGGATGCATTGTTACTGTGAAACTTTTTATCTGGTAAATGTATGGCTTTTTCAATGCTTTGTGGTACTTATTATTATTGTTTTGGAGTAAGTATTTATGTTGGGAAATTATTTCATCATGTTTGACTGGTAGAAAATCGAATGCGAATACTCTAACACCATGCTTTCCCAGTATGCATAATTATGTCTTAAGCAGACAGACGGTACCTAAAAACCAAACGAGAAGGTTACACGCTAAACAATAAATTAAACTGTATTTCTCCCACATGTATTGAGTTCAGGGTTCCACGTAGGAATGAAGGGTAGAAGTACGAAACATTTAAAAGTAAGAGATGCCACGTGAGTTGTTAGCAATTTATATGCAAATGTCGCGGCCCGCGGGGCAGACTTCTGACAGACTGTTCTGGAGGGATACGAGTCGAGACATAGTAATAGAACATTATATTTGCTAGAACTAAGGTAAGTAACATTATGTTGTTTTAAAGGTTGTTCGGTGTAGCGATAGTTGCTCTTGTAGACGGTTATTGATAACAAATATCAAGGAAGTTTACAATCAATTTGGACATAGAAACATCTGCGACTATGAAGGCAGTACAAATGACCAAAAGAAGTAGTTCTTTTCAAAGATAGACCATTTACAAAAAAATTCGAAAAGGCAGTTTAGTGAAAGTCAAACATTTTTACCTCGATGTTATTAAGAAGAAGAAAGAAAGAAAAACCATTTATTACGCCACGACATATAACAAGAATACAGGTACACAAACAAAAAGTCCATAGTGCGTCGCAGCGCAAAAGGCGTTTTATAAAACTCCGTGCAAGAAGTCATTGACCGAAAACATTAGATAGCATTTAATGTCATACTCTATTCAGAGAACGTTTAACAGAATAGAAACAGCGCAATATTCCTTTTCTCATTCCAAATTAAATGCACAAACCGCGTGAGTACGGCGACGTGTTGGACCGTTCGGTCTCCAGAGACGAATCTAATTGCATTTTGCTGAGGTGAGCTCGGAGCCGGGAGCATTCCTTACTTTTTACTGGTACATGCTGATAATGAGATAAACCTTGTCGTCTGTACACTTTTTCGGATGTTCTGTGTAATGTTGTCATGTAATCGTGAAGCTAACCATTGAAAGTATATAAATTATTCAGTAATTTTTTACCAAGCAATCAGTGATGAGTACAATACTCCTACTACTAACTGAATATCAAACTGTCTCAATATTTGGATAAAAACTTCGTAGAGTCGTAGACATACCTTCATCAAAACTAGTTTATCTGTCCATCAGACCGTTATCACAGTGGTATCACAGCGGTGGGAGTAATGCCGGCTGACATGTGTCCCGCACACGACCCGCTAATCCTGCCCACAGTGTCCACTCCCCGACATGGATAGACACAGTTTTTGTAATCCTGTATCTGTTTACTTGAGAATTAAGAGAAGTTCAAAAAACTATTAAAGTTTTTGTACTTGTTAACCGTATATTTGATCATTCGGCGTGTACGATACCAATCAGTTGCCGAAAAGAACTCAGAAGTATTTGTTTATGTACGTAAGTTTATAGTGATGCGATAAATTTTGATAAAATGCCATTTATGGAAAACAGAGCTCGGACTCTTCTGTTTCGTCGCAATCATAAGATTGTAGTAAAAAACTATTTTTTTAATAAATAATTTCAAGATTTATTTGATTACCACTAGGAAATATTAAATTAATAAACACACAGATTCACACAATTGAAGACATGCCACAAATCAACTTTAGACTTTGCTCAGTTTAACTCTGACAGGATCAGAGAGAGGACCCTCCTCCAACTTCGTGTACGCCAGGACCCTGACTTCGTAGGTGATGTCCATCTTCACTTTGTCGTAGACTGCTGTCGTCACGTCAGCTGGAACCTGGATCTCATCAGGTGATCCACCAAGTTCGGAGAGTATGTCGATTGGCTGGATAAAAATAAAAAGCAGTGTTATTTACGTTCAGCTGACAATATGATGGACTTTAAGCTACTAAGCTACGGTAACTGCTGAGCATAAAGCGTGTTTTAATTTGATAGATGTATAAAAATGAAGCAAAATAAGATAGTAGTGAGTATTACAAAAGTTACGAAAATACCATTTGATTTTTTGTGAGATTGGCGATTTCAAACCTATAATTAGAAATTATGAGTCCACAATTCCTTACGATGTTTTTTTTTGTCATTGGTCAATTTAGAAAGACACTTTATATCTAGGAAAAAGTCGAAACTCTTAACATTCGGGCCACTACAATATTATCTTTATGCTCTAACGTAGTGTAGTTTAAGTTTGAAATAAGTATTTACGTAGTATAAAATAGTTTTGTCTCATATTTTGTTTTAATTTAATTGTTTATTATTAAGTAAGTTTGTTTCAATAGTTTGGTATAAAGTTTATTTTAGTCTAAGTTTAGTTTAAGGTCTTATCTGTCGCATTAGGGACAACCCTGTAAAGATAGAATAAGTTTTGATAAATAAATCTTCAAATCCTAACCCTTAAAACGCATACAACGCATTTGTAACTACTTTGATGTTGCGGCTAAGTGCAAAGTCGAATTTTTACCATCAGATGATCTATATCCCACAATAGTAGTACTTAAATCCCCAAAAATACGTGAGCATTTCTTTCCCAGGCACATTCAGTTTTTTCCAAATAAGATTAACCTAATTAGATTGATTCGTAGAAATGAGAAACAATTATTAATGTTCTTCGTTCATTAAACAACAAAATTTCCTATTACTAATGAGTGTCATTTATTTAAATATGTATTGTGGTACCTAATTTCTAGGTGAATGACCGAAACGGTCGTTTGGTTTGTTTCGACCTTCTCCAAAACAATAAATCTATTTGTATATGAGGTAACAAAATTAAGTAGGTCAAGAGCATTTTTCTTATAGAGTTTTCCATGTGATGGCGTAACAGCCGAAGGCACATACATATTATTTTGTTTATTATGTTTCTTTATACATTAGTCTGATGGATAGGGCCATACAGATAAGGCCTAGGTCGAGCAAAATTCTATTAGACATTTTCTATTTTTAGAATAATTTTCAGTTATAGAAATGACTCTGAAATGAATGTATGGGGATTACGTTTGATTTAATGCACTGATGCCAAACTTTTATATTATAAAACATGTGGCGTGGTGTTATGGTAATATGGTATCGAATTCCATTAAATATTAAGATATATATATGATGATTACCTGCTCCTCAGTGTTGACCACTTCGTCGACCTTTCCATCTACAACGACAAACAAAGTGTTTGTGGTGTTCTGCACTTCCCACACCTTTACCTGTAATCATATAAAATCATTTTTATTGATTTCAAATAACCATTTTTACTACCTTCAAGCTTAATAGTACAAAAAAATATCTCATAGGTATATTATGGCATTATGGTCAAAAAAATACAGCAATAATGTTAATATCACAAATAAATAAAATAGAAAGGAAAATAAATAATATAAAATTAAAGTAAGAAAAAAATTAAATTAACATTTTTTTCTAATCTATGTAAAAGAACATTCAATCAAAATAAAATCCTATCAAGTCTACTTTAAATATAAATAACGCAGCAGTAGTTCGAAATTAAGGCTACAACCCTTGAAGCCCAAAAAATATTGGCTAAGAGATAAGTCAGTAGGTACATCAACTTGCCTTATAACCAATAACAGGGTCTTTTACGTCACCACTGTCAATTTTATTCCAGGTCATTTCAATAGCTGGTGGATCTATTATATTCACTCTTAGCAGATGAGGGGCTGACAGTAGACCAGCCTTCGAGTCCAGTGGTAGACCCTGGCACAAACTCACTAACACAAGCAGGTATACGCTCTTCATGGTGAAAAACATTTTTAAAAATTATTATTTTTGTTTTGTACGTCACGTTTCGTTTCCAAAAGTATAATGAAGTTCAAATGTACGTTTGGTCATTATATTACCTTCTGTGCATCTAAAGCTGTGTTCACGGTGGTAGTTATCTAAAGTATACAACGAAAAAAAAACTGAAAGCAATTTTATTTTACTCTCTTACAAACTCTTTTTCACCGAGAAAAAAAATTGGTTAATAAATAGATAATTAGATACTTAATATTAATTCAAAGCACTTTTTGTGAGTCCCTCAAAGGGTAAAACAGAAACCTACTCTGTTGAGTGAGCAGGTTTTTGTTTTTCCGTTTGTATGTGTCTGTCACTTGGTGTTATTTTCTGAAACAAGATAGTTAGACAGAGTTAGACAGTTACAAATTTGGACAGATGATCTATAATTTTTGCATATTTAACAAACATATTTATTGATTAACGAGTTTACTTACAGCTTCTTTGTAGATAAGGCTTAAAGTACAATTTTATATAAAAAACAAAATGAAATAAATATTATGAGAGAGGCTTTTATAGAACAAACGTGATTTTGATTCGGAACAATTTGATATGCAAGAATGTGAGTCCTACTTATACTTGTTGTGTTTTTTAAAATACTACAGGGTAGACACATATAAATATTTTTTCATGTCATCATTATGAACGGACCTTTCTATGAGTCACTGCCCTTTGGCCATCTCTTATGGTCAGATAACGTTGTGTGACGAACAATGTTTGTGTTCCACTAGTTAATTAGTTGATAGCACCACAATCGTCATTGTGTAATGCACAGTTGATTGTTGTTGATAACTCATCGAGTGGACACGAGACCCGTTCGGAATCCATTGTTGCGACATTGTGACAAATACTCGATTTTTAACGCAGTAGTAATTTACAGTAGTTTGTTTTGTATTTATAGTATATGCACATGCTGTGTATGAGTTTACTTTCATACTATATTAAGGTCAATTCTAGACTCCATACGATCATTGAATCCACGCCTAAACTAACCTTGTCACAATTTGCTGTGGACTACACTAACTACTTATATTTCTTTTACGAAAACATGAAATGCCCAATTAATGAAAGTAAAAGAGCAATATACATAAAACACGTGATGCCAAACAAAAGCTACTTATGTATAAATAAATCAGTCGGTCCTCCTCGCGCAAATTAAACATTATTCTTCAGCGGAATTCCTCCCAGGGACCGGGGACTTTTATTGGAATTTTTGCCAATAGCTCTACGTGCCAATACATACGTTAAACGGTTGTAACTGTTCACACCCCACGGCATTTAGCTTCTTTATGTCAATCGGGACCCACACACTCACAGCCTGTACGTGCACACACGCGCACACACGCGACGACATGCAAATCGCAAAGACGGAACAGGGAATCCAACGTGTATTCTATTTACTGTTGCTTTGTGTCATACTATACACGGTTTTGATACTTTTTTGAGAGCATGTATGGATGATGGATTTAAAATATTTTCGATATTCCTCTTACCCATGACAACTTTTGATAACATCAAAATACTTGGAAAATTTCTCAAAAATAGGATTTTTTAATCAAATGTTACTCAATATCTAAATTATCTACATGAATTATTTCACTTATCACAACTCGGATCATAACAAGGTATCTGTGTACCTTGTTCTTGCCCTACTTACTACTATGAGTAATCCTAGTTTTAGTAAACAAGTTGTTTTTAATTACCGTTGATGGTGTTGCGCAAACCATTAGAAAAATCTTGTTTACAACTAAGTCATTTACAAAAAATATTCTGCTTGTCTAATCTTTGATTTCACAATTTGATGATTATAAGTCTATGTGTTTTTACTAGTTATCGTTAACTTATTAGCCACTTACTAATTGATCAATTATGAAATCTATTTCTAGTTAAATACTTTGAAGAGTCTTGACTTTTTAAGTGTCCAAATAAATATGTATAGTCACAGGAATATTAAGTTCGATAAAATTGTACCAAGATTGTGTGATAGCACTATAAATCCACTATATCCCAGTATTGTCCCTTTAACACGAAACGGAGGCGTATAACAAAATAAAATACAATACAAAAAGCGTTAAACGTGAACCTATTGATTTGCTGGAATTTTTATTAGGAGCCTACCTACGGGGGGACAACAGTTTTATTGTAGCATCGCTTACCGGTCGCACTCGCCATTTTAATTTTGTTTATATGGAAATTTGTGAGATGTATCCTCCACTATTTGATGTTTAATTCCGCTCTTCCAGGGTCTGACGATTTATGAGCTTTTACATTGCCAAAACGTTACAAAAGTAACTGTTTTGGTTTTATTATAACGGTCAAACAGAATTGTCAAAAAAAAACATGAAATATTATAAAATATTTTTTTTGAATTGAATTCTGTTTGGGCAAATTGGTTAATAAATCAAATAATAAAAAGATATCCAAAACCTAAAGGTATTGGTCTCGGATCTGCGGACTGCGGGGCTCGCCGCAAGACTAGATGGTGATGGACTAGAGGTGGTACCCAACAGGGCCTTGGCCTGGAGCGGTAGAAGAAACAGGGTAGTTTTTAGTTAGTAAGAGTCTGACACTCTTTATTTCTGGTCCTATCCTGAGCGAGAGGGAGAGAAAATTATCCTCCTCCCCCCCTCAAAAATAAATAAGATCAAATAATATAAAACGTAGGTACAGGTGAACATGAATTTATTTGACGATCATAGTAATAAATTAGCCGAGACTAGACCGAGAGTCAATCGTTGAAATAATGGTTAACAACTTAATTACGATTGAACGTTAGCCAGAAAGCAAATAGTGCATAATGTGAATCGTTGCAAATGAGGTGTGACATGACACCGTACATCACGATGTAATATCAATGGACCGAGCAGAAACGAATATAAGTTCTGCATCACCTTGTTGTTATAGAGCTGAAATAGTGTATATCGACAGATTCTAACGGCATTGTGGTTTGACAGATGAGATTAGAAGAAAACTGTTACAAATTGAAGTAATTTTATGGTGCCTTAAGTAATTTGCAGGAGATACAGCCGTTCTTCATGGGACGTCTTTCTCCAGATTTTCCAATCAGGCAACACGCATTCGACTAAGTAGCCTACTTTAGTTCGAGTATTCGTATGAGGCTGTTTGGCCACATTCCTTTCAATTTCTTCTATCGACATCATTATAAAATGTAGGTACTTTTGAAATCGGATAGGCAATGTATGTCGTTCATGGAAACCCAGTGCAACACCAAATTATTTGGAAGGGTTGATAGGAATTTGGGAATTAGGAATGGAAGGTACGTAGGCATAGGATTGAGGCTCCAGTAAACTTATTCACACTGCAAGACACAACATATATTAAGCGCTGTGTCAGCGGCTGAGCCAGCTTTTTCGCACCGAAGCATAGCTCTCCCACACTCATCATATTATTATAATAATACATCAAGTTGTCTGTCAAATATTTTCTTATAACTGTATTTCGATGGAAATTGCATCGATAGTTTCCCAGTCCCACCTCTATTGCACCCGCTGAAACCATATATTGTCGTGCGTCGGCTCCGTCTGGCGTTCCGTTTTGTTTTTGCATCTCACTCATTTGGCCACCTTTATTGGTCCGGTCAGCCCGGAACGGTTTGATCCCGTCGACACGGCGATTCATCTCGTTTCTATCGTTTGTTTTGTGAGCGTTTATTGTTTTTAAAGGTGGGGGCTTCGATTTAGATTCGACATTGATGCTCGCTTTATTGCGGGCATCAAATGTTACAATGTTTAACATTGTATGTGTTACATTTTAAAATAATAAAATATTATATTTAATATGTTTATGTTAATCTTGTATTTCATTTGGAGATCTAAATATCCTCCCTATTACAAGCTTTCCTCCAATTTCCAAATCCATCACAAACCACAACAATATAACCAAAAGGAGATGAGCCAACAAATTAATTTGAAAATTCAAATGCCTTAGCAGGAAATGTAATTGTAAAGGCGTGTGTACACGGCACGGTAAGGCGGTGTTTACACCGAGCGGCGCAAAAGGTACGGATTTGTTAGAATGTAAATCAAACTGAATGTTTTATTAAACACGCCGCTGCTGGATATTCAAATTAAGCGGTGTCGATGGTATTATTGCATGGAGTTAGACTCTTTGTTCGTACCGCTGAGTTTTTAGAAATTTATTTGTTTGATAATCTATAGAAAGGTACGTAAGATTTTCTGGGAATAGGATAGGATAGAGATGGGATTTGAAAATTGTAAAAGAAAACGGTATGTGATAGATAGATTATCATGTCATCATAATATTGTAAGCGTAACTGGAAAGACACGAAAATGTATTAGAAAATTGTACACAGTAAAGTACAAAAATCACACTTACAATATTAGAATAAAATTATAGTTTATTTTGCGTATTAGGAAAGAGTCACCTCCGCAGCATGTTACCATCGCAAGATTTCCACCTCAGCGTTCCCGTTGGCAATATTTACCCGTTACTTTCTGTAAACAGTGCCCGGAACATTGCGAATATAACTCGTACAAGAAAATTAAGCTTGTTTAATTATCTAACTTGCTGTACAAGTGTACCAGTATACACTTTCTCAATATTAATGTATACGTATGTAGGTACTTATGTCTCTTGTGTAATTGGGTGAATCTTATTTTAAAGGCCATAAAGTGTATAGTGAAATAGCGGTGTGTTTCTAAAACCACTTTTCAGGGTTTTCATTTGACCAATACAATACGTAGGTATCTAACATCTCCAGTGTCCCTTACAGGTGGTGATGGTGACCACCGGGGAGGTTTTAGCGAGGTAAAAATCCCACACTCCCTAGTCTATTTCCCCGAAAGCTAAGCGCCTTTTGAGGAATCCCCTCGTTAACAAAAAAAAGTATCCAGCATCGCTTATTTAGAAAATCCAAAGGGTGACCATGTTTAGTGTCACATGTGACTTTTAGTGAAATTATACAGTAGATACTTAAAACAAAAAAAGAAAAATGACTTTAGTTAATTCTGAGTAATTTTGCTCAATTCTCTACAAATTTTTCGTTATGCCTACATTACATTCATTTTCAAATGATGATTATGTAAATAAAGATTTGTTTTTGCATAAGTCTTTAAAAAAACGTCAACTTTCCGAAACATTATTCGCGGTCATTAATAAGAAGTACCAGGCGAGCAGAAGTCGACCGGAGCGAACTTCGTATATCTGCTTCCGCTAACTACTAAAAGATGGTAATGAAGCGCACTCACCTTTATGTACCTGTCCTTGTCACACTCACTTCACTTGTATCTTGTCGTCCCACTCTAAGCTGCTGTCACAGCCACAACGGCCGATCCAGACGGTGACAAGAAATTAATTAGGGGAAGCTCGGGAAAATAATGGTGTGCCGTGATTTTTAAATGAAATTTATTTTCTTCACTTCATTTATTTCTGGGCGACATGACACTTCGGAAATTATTAGACTTTAGGAGGGCTTCCCTTCCGTAGGTAAGGTTTCAAGTTGTTTACCTTGTGACGTCACCGAAATTTTTCTTTTGACATTTTTATTTGTTTGGCCGTTGATTGGTTTTAAAATATTTTGCTTGGGAATTGAATGTTTTGGCCTCGTTTATTTGCACACTTAACACTTAGGTGTTTTTTTTTAGTAAATGTTGAAATTGTAATTGAAATTGGCAATAAACACCGTAGCAATTCATGCTGTGATTTGTTTAGATTTTGTCAATTTCGTTAGCAACATGAATCAACATAATTATAACATTTCCTTTTAGCTGACAGTCACGACTCCTTTACCTACATGACAGGTGACAATTGCTCTTAATCATACTGAACTCAAATGTGGACTCTATTTTCATAAACTGAAAGTTATCTTCCTGTTCAAATATCTTTAAGAGCTTGGAACATGACTACTCTGACAGCAAGGCGATGTATTTTAAAAGGCTAATATGGTACACATAAGGGAAACCTATTCATGAAATTAAGACACAACGTGGTGGTGGCCCGGAGGTTAAGGAGCCCGCTTCTCATGCATGAGGGTTCGAAACCTGGCATGTACACATGTGACTTTTTCCGAGTTATATGTACATTCTGTGATTATTGAGACACCACTGACATACGGTGAAGGTAAACATCGTGAGGAAACCTGGACTTACAAATAATTTCTAATTAGAAGTTTGAAATCGCCAACCCGCATTGAGCAAGCGTGGTGATTAATGCTCAAACCTTCTCCGCGTGAGAAGAGCCCCTTGCTCAGCAGTGGGCACTTATGGGCTGCTGATCTGATGATCTGAAGACACAATATATTTTCTTCACTTTCGTATTACTCGTGAAAAGATGCTTTAGCAGTATAAAGAAAACTATTGTCAAACATAAGAAAGACACATCCCGAGACCTCATCCATACGTAAACTCATAGGTACGTAACTACAGAACCAAATAGTCTACAATTTGAAAGTTTAATAAGTTGTAATGGTAATGATGTCAGCATACATCGGCTGGTTGTTGAAAGGGCGATTAAAATAAAGGGTTGTAATAAAATCACCGGCGATTATTATCGGAAACCCGCCGAGTGGCGCTCCGTAATATTCACGGTTATTATTATAGTACAGGACACACAGAAGGTTCAGTCTTAAGTTACTGGATTTACGTATTATTTTATTTTGGATTTCTTTAACGGACAGTTACCCAATTCAATTTTCGGGCCCCTAGTTTCAGAATGAAGAGATATTAAAATATCTTATTTTGAAACATTTTGTTAAATACACTTTGTAGCTTTTATCTATCTATCTATCTATCAGTCCATCAGTCTATCAATCCATCCATACATCCAACCATCCACCCATCCATCCGTTCATATTATTATCCATATCTGTATGTAGGATTCTTAGTTGTAACTTAGGATTTCAAATTCGTCGACGTCCTGTGCCATTAAATAAAAAAGCATGCAAGTTTTTGCTAAATATTCAAAACAATTTGTAATCACTTCAAAATACGAATCAGAACCAACTTACTCATATTAATTTACACGTAATTCAGATTCTCTGTTCTCTCACCAAATTGACTTACTGTGTGTCCCACACCTGTGCCCCGAACTAATTAAACGCACGAACAGATTTATTAGCAGATACGATTATAATGTTACATGGTAATGGTGGCGTGACACGACCACTTCTGATACTGAAACAACTCATGTTCGACTTTCAATATACTCCTGAAAATTATACTGAAGGGTTCTATTGAGTGCTAGTACTTTTGACCCTAAACCCTCCAATAATTAAAAAAAGGTTTAAAATACTAAAATGCTTGTGTTGGTAACTATCTGAAGGAAAACACTGTCAATTTTTTCGGATTAAATAGTAGTCATGTTTAATGACAGTTAAATATAAATACAAGATATAATGTTCTTTTGTCAGCACTTAATGACCTTGAAATAGCAGCATTTGGCAAAGTAAACAAAAATGTTCTTCGAGCGAACCCTTCAAAGCCAGATAATACAAGATGAGTTGTCGCCACCCAAACAAAACACATCGTATTCACAAAACCGGGGACTTCCTCGGGTGATCTTGGACAAAGGGAAACATTACTTGAAGCTGTTCCTGGAGACGTCATCCATACATGGACTGAACCATCTGGTTGCAGATAGGAGACACTGTTTTGAAATGTAAGTGAGATTCACCAGTTAATAACTTCCTAAGAACTTGAAAAATACATATTTTACAACTATTGAAACATTTATACATAATTATACTATTAATCTAAACATCAACGTTGTAACTACTCTTCCTTTCCTACAGCATTCTTTGGTTCACCATCATACTACTATCAGGGTTTGGCTCCCTGTACCTCTCTCAGATGACCTGGAGCCGATACCAGTCGTCGCCCACTGTTGTCTCCATGGACCGGGACATGTTCGCTTGGAACACCACCTTTCCTTGCGTCACCGTCTGTCCCAATAACTATATTGATTCTAGGAAACTTGAAATCTTCCTACGGTAGGTTTATTTATTTACTAGCTAGTATCACGTAGGCTCCTACAGGTCATAGCGTGATGCTTTATAGCTTATAGCCTTCCTCAATAAATGGACTATCAAACACACAAATATTGCTCAACTCGAACCAGTAGTTTCGGAGATCAGCGCGTTCGAACAAAAAAACAAACTCTACAGCTTTATAATATTACGGCTTTCATATTTTTTTATTTGAATTTCCGAAAAATCACAATTTTAGGATGATTTATGAAAAATTGAATGCAAATGCAACCATTCAATTTTCATTGCCTTTCTTGTATTATATTTCAGAAACGCTAAAGAAGAAAATAAGACTCGATTGGAAAATTTCATCATTAGCCTCGCAAATGCTTCTTACAAAAATTTCGAGAGTATTCCTATCTACCCAGACATCAGTCCAGACAAATATATTCAGTTGTTGGTGAACTTGTCGGTTCCTTTCAAGCCGTCCTTGACTATTGGAGTATCTAATGTGGCATTATCTATAGTTCCAACTATTACTGAAATGGGGTTATGCTATGCTGTAAATTCTAGAATGGCCGTATACAACTCTCCAGAGTAAGATTTTTTAACCATCTTGCAAGAGATTTTTTTATTGTTTGGATTTCAAATGATTTTCAAGAGGAAAATCAAAATGAAAATTTCTCTTTCTCTGCTTTCAGATATAGAGATGCCAATCGATGGGACATTATAAACGATGATACGAAAAGTCTGTTCATCCACCCGTTAGATGGCGAAGTATTTGCTCAAGTTATGAATATTTCTACTTCATACGATGTAAGATTGTCATTCTTAATTGTGTGAAAAAATATACATATTTTAAAACAATTAGTGTTTTAGATGCTTTGTATTCTTTGTCATCGTTACAAATCTCTTGACCTACATCAGGTTTACATCCATGGTCCTCAAGAAGTTCCGGATATATCGACAAAGTTTCAGCATTCAGCTCAAGGGTACTACATGAAGTTGTACGTGACTGCGCTCACTGTCTACACCTCACCGGAAGCAGCTAAGTGATTACGTGCTTTGTTTAACTGTTATAATTTTTCTGAACGTAAAGCCTATGAGATAATTTATTCTATTTCATTCTCTATTTCTAGTTTCAAATGGAAGAACTGTACTGAATCATACATCTGTGCTGTGTTGGTTTAATTTCCGAATTTCTATTACTCTTTTTTAGTCAATAATCGAATGCTAGGCTCACTCTTTATCAGTAGTGATAGAACACTCAATTAATAAACTTTATAACAAATTATCTTCTTATCAAGATGATAGTTGACGCAAAAGGACAAAAGCTATCATTTCATGGGAACATATGACATACACCCATTTTAGCAGGGAAAAACTCTTTGTGTAATCAACGAATTGTTGTTTTGGGTCTGAGCATGATGTGCATGTGAAATTGTATATTTTTAAGCACAGTCGACATAGGAGAAAATCCTAGTTCGCGTAATAAAATTTTATACCTCTGTGATTTCTATTCAGGTTAAGCATCAACCAGCGTCGGTGTCGGTTTCCTCATGAGAACAATCTGAAGCACAACTCGATCTACACGTACACGATGTGTCGCATGGAGTGTCGCATCCGTCTCTGCTTGAAGTACTGTCACTGTATTCCCCACTTCTACAGGAGGATTGGTAATAAGGACAATTAATTGCATGTATTCATTGGCTTGACACACAATTTGGTTTGTTCAATACAATAATATTTATAACAGGTGAAATGTCTTGTTATCCACCACTACAGCTGGTTTATTTTAGTACCAAAATGGTGACTATGACGCCATATTGCTGTTTCTCCCTATATCAAGGATAGTACCGTAACCATGGCAACCGTATGACCAATTCTGAGGCATCTTGTTGATATGCTTGTTGTGACGTCACGTTCGTTTCTTAAACCAAGATTATGTAGAAGAATACCAAATATTTTGTTTTCTGATATACCTAAGATCTATAATATCCTGTGTTTTTTTTTGTTGGATTTTTATATCGATCGGTCAAAAAACCAATCCCGTGTAATGTAAGGAAGAGTCTGAATTAAAATTACTTATATTTTAGGTGATGAACAACTTTGCGATGTCGAAGGCTTACACTGCTTGTCCAAATATAAAGGTACTAAACTATGTATACTTTAATTGATAATAAATGACGTATTAATAATAAAAACTTATTAATTCCAGACGAGTTGTACAAGCTACAAGATTCGAGCGGAAAGAAAGTAATGTGTGGATGTTATCCACTGTGTGATGACGTCAATTATGTATTGCAATCAAATGTACGTAGAATATTAGTTTTAATACACTTTTCTGTAAGCAACCAACAAAAAAAAAAATATTTATTAAACACCACTTTCAAACATCAGCCTTACACATGTAAAACCTGACATACAAAAAAACTAGATGAGGCATTGAAAAACTCAGAGATAATAAAAAATAAATAATGTGGAAGAACCGAGCAAAATCATTTGAGGAAAGAACCGCGTTAGTTTGAGTTGATTATTTCTGATGGCAAGCACACACGTGTTAATTGTCCGACGAACAATACCGACCTAAAGAGCATTTAGGTAGGTCTTACATAGATCTTACCAATACTCAAGCCGTTACAATCGCATTGATCCCTAATTAAAAATAACAATAGTTCAGTTTTCTCAAGTCAACCTAATTTGGTGTGGTTGAAATAAATCATCATTTAAGAAATACTACAAAACCCTTCCCAAGACACTTCCTCAATGAGTTGTGTAACTGTTATAATCTATTTTCAGGCACTTCAAGAGTGGTTCCTGGGTACAAATCTTCAATGGGGTATGGTGACGTATCCTCGGATGAGATACAGGAGGGACATCATCTTCGGCTTCACCGATGTACTGGGTATGAGTTTGCAATTTTTTGTCATGATGTTTTGTACCCTCTGAATTTTGGTCTTACTGTAAAGCAATGGATCCCGGATACACTTGGAAAATTCTCAACAGCACCGCGGCTGGAATAGAGCCCATAATATTTCATACCTTTATGAACTATTTTAGAGAAAAGTTAATACTTATACAATTTAGGAATCATATTAAAAAATTAAAAAGTTACAGATAAGGAATTAAATAAATACCTATATAATAATTTCAACTAATATAATATCATCGAATACTTTAACTGACAAATATATTATTATACAAAATTATACATGTCCTACAAACTATTATAATTTATCAATTCATTAATTTTTTTGTGTTTAGTTGTTAGTCACATGTAGACGAAATGTAAAAGCTATTTTTGACCTCATTAGTTGCTGTTGGCGGCATGGCTGGTCTGTTCTTGGGCTGCAGTGTGCTGAGCTTCATGGAAATAGTCTACTTCCTTACACTGCGTCTCTTCTGCTACGCTCAGACGTCAAAATAAGCTTCGACATACGTTTGAACTTTTATAAATGCTGCACTCTGGTCGCTATGGGAACGCATTTCACAAAAATGCTTGTAATTATAAATTCCTTATGATCATCCCTTTCATGTTCCTTTCTAAACAAAACCTAGTCTTTTCCTTCAGTTTACTGTGTACCAACAATAACAACTTGATTTTAATTAAAATGTATGAGTTGTTTCTATACGTAGTACCCAATAATTTCATTATGAAGCCATTAACATCATAGTTAACGCAATGCCCCCAAAACTACACCAATTTGTAACAAAGTACCCGGTTGGGTCCAACAGACCCCAGGTAAATTTAATTTAGGGTTAAACGTAATTGCAGGCGACGCACATCGGGTCGTATTAACACATCGTAAATTCAACCCTTAAACACCTTGCTAATAATTAAGATCGGTCTTTGAGACCCTCGGGATTGCTGGGCCAATTTAACAATAACACCTACTGTTGTGGACGGGTTAGGGACATATTGGGTCACCTTTATTTAGTAACGTTTTACAAGGGTTGGGATAAACTAAAGAGCTGAAGCATTGGGGTACTTTATGTCTTAATTATCCAACACAGCATAAAACACCACAAAAATCAAAAACTTTGTCAGTTCGGTATCAATGCAATATGTGTAAAATATTATAAAACAAATGCAACATTTCTCCACACACAAATAGTGCATACCATAACATGACGATAAAACTCATTATCGACTTATCTGTCGTGAGCAAGACGTACTCGCAACACATCGTCATAAAAGGCTTAGCTAGGACTGCGGCGTGCGGGGTGCGCGGGGAAGGGGTAATGTTTAAGATTATTGTTTGGAGTTAGCGGGGTTGAGGTAATTTAATTCTGAGACGTTCTACCTTTGTCTTTAGTGATGTGAAGAAGTTTGTATCGAAAATGTTAACGTATATATTATACGTATAGATGGATAGTGCGGAAAATGCATAAAATTTTGCCGAGTGCGTTTTTATAACAATAATATTTATAATCCTAGAAATTATTTGATACATCTAAAAAAATATGTTTATCCTCATTTCAATAAAGTAAACGACTGTCAATTCCGATAATGAGAGGTTTAAATTTTTGAAACAGGATATTAAGTATCTCGGTAATGTTACCAACCATATCTATTAGAGTTCATCCATTTCAACACATCTATCGATAACAAAAACCCCATCCCTCAAAGTAGGTGTTTATTAATACTACATGTTAAGATTTTAATTGCGACCATCAAGTGGCTTTTGTTTATGAACGAGTTCCTGCAGGGGGCGCCACCATACATCGCTGGCGGCTATGAGGTGAGAGATACAGTAGTACCTATATACATATTGTATTATGTATTATTCTGTGGTATACTTACCTACCTACCGTAAGCATATCAATTATGTTTGACAAGCTGTAAGTTATACAGAGGGTGGATCTAGTGGCCTGATTATTGGGGCACTGTGGTAAGTGTATCTAATTAAATTAGGATCGAATTATAGTAATAAAATGTAAACATGTAAAATATAAAGAAATTACTCAGTAGATCGGCCAAAAGCAAGGCAAGGGCAAGATACCAGCGAGGTAAGATACGAGCAAGGGGCTGCTCCAGGCCTTATAAAATTACCCATCTGTTCATACATTTTTTGCAAATCAGTAAATTATTCCTATCTCTATTTCGAAGGAACGAGAGGTTAAGGTGATGACTTACCATCAATTGGCTAGGCATTTACGCCATGGCTGGGACGAGACTCAACGAAAGGAAATGTCAGACTCTTATTGCCTAAAAACCACTCCGTCCCACTCCTGCTCCATGCCTAGGCGAGCTTGAAATGGTGTTCTGTTGGGTCTTTTAAGTGCGTGCCTTACGCTCGGGTCTTGCTCGCCGGTAGCAGATCCGCGGACCCTACGGATAAACGTACGAGCGAAACCAATCCATTTTTTGTTCCCTCTCCTAACAAACTTTTCCACCATTAGCCACCCTATTTATTTATAAATTGTCGTAAAACGTTTATAATATTGATGCACGTGGCCGATTGTGATAAAATACGGTTGTTTACGAGATACGGAAATCTGGCATTGCTATAAAGGGGATGATATATGTTGCAAGATATTTTGAAGGTCAGGTTTGCTGTACGGGTGTGATATTAATGTGTTTTCAAACTAAAATGGCTGCCAATAAAATTGTAATGATGTTGACGTAGAAACGTCAATTTCACACAAATCACACTATTTACGTGTGTCTGTGTATAATTGTATATGTGTGAAGCAAGTAATTACGTAATGAGGTAAAAATAAAATTTATTTATTTGTGGTGTTTTTGATAATGAATTTTGTGCTTAAACCACATCTAAATATTTGTGTCTGTAGCTATGATACTTTTCTTATATTAAATGTCCATATTCGATGCTTTGCAAATGACAAAATAAATCTCCAATACACTCCAATTGTCAGTGTTGCCATCAAATCAACTTCCCCTGACCCATCGTTATTTACCCTACCTTTAAGATTGCCAGATAAAAAAATTGCTCCCTGATTTATGGGGAATTTTTTCGCCGATAAATAGTTGTCTTAGAGGCCTATAGGGCGGGCTCTCCTCATTTTTCTAAGGTGGATATTACTTTTTTTGCTGATAAAGAGATGACGAATGAGGTAGGTGTGAGATAGTTTATGTGTTGCCGTCAGATTTATTGCTCGGGTTTTTATTTTACGATCGCTTTATTATAGGTGTGGTTGGGTAACGTTGTTCACTTATCTTACTCTTGATTAAATTGGGAAACCTCTTATGTTGCGTTCTTTGTTGGAGATTTTATTTAAAAAAATATGTATAAAGGTTACCGCTATATTACTATTATCGTCTTCAATTTCAACAATAGAAACTTCTTGTAAAAATACTCTTATTCAAGCACAGTCTACATTTTCGACTGCAATAATCAAATTCTTCTATGACTTTTCTCATCGTTCACACTTACCTACTTTGAATAAAATAATAACCTCATTTACCAATTCAAAATTAACGATCGCAGTATAACGAGTCAGTAATCACGAACCAAACGAGATACCTCGACACAAAGCCTCAACTTACCCACTTATAACTCAAAATAACCGATCCGCCATCATGAACAATGACGTCACTTCCTGACACCCGCGTTTGATGTCACTCCCGAGGGGGCGCCACTTGCCGAGAACAAAGATTTAACTAAGAAACAAAACATGCTTACTTACGATGTTACCTACAACGAACGATCACAAGGGTGTTTCTCAAGTATCAAGGTAGAAAACATTTCATTATTAATTCTTTTGTTTCTTTCTGTTCTAGGGTTTTAATTACAAAACAATGTTCTCAATATAGATTTTCTTCCTTTTGAGAATAATAAATTAAAGTTTTTTTGTTGACCAGCCCGACTTCACACGGTTGCAATGCTAACACTTCTCCACCATGTAATGGATATTAGATAAGTAAGTATTTTAAAATAACATTACCTATTAAAAACGAGTATCAAAATCCTTTGCGTAGTTTTTTAAGATTTAAGCATATAAGTATTTAGGGTCAGGGAAAACGACTTTGTTTTATACTACCTAAGTAGTGCTTTTCTACGCCGCCAAAAGTATCTTTGAAAAGCAAAAGGACGTGTGACTTTCACAGTAAAGGAACCTTACCAATTTTAACGATCAATAAGTAACTTAATATGTGATATATTTGTGAGCACCCTGTAGCATCCCTCTCACCTCTTCCCATTGTGGCGGTCTGTGGCAGGCGCGACTCCGCCGCCTAACTTTTTAACGAGCGCTCACATCCACTGCATCAAAATGACAATAGGTAAGTAAGATATTATTATAATAATAATACATAAATAAAGATAGGTATCTATAGCTACAACTTTATATTACCGCAAGTTAATGTTTAGTTTTTAGTTCTTTGCATAGCGCCTACTAAAATTACGTTAGCAAAGTTGTCGTATTACAATTTGCATTTATATAATAAATGCCTACTTTTAACACTGCTAAGCTCTTTGATACAATTTGAAGAGACTTTTATTGTTTTATTAATTTGTAATAGAATATAAAATATTGAAAATCTCATTACTGATACTAGGGTTAGCAAATAAATCTATATTTATTTGATGAAATTAATGTTGACATGGTAACGTCATAATGTACTATAACCGTTAATACACTAATTACCCGGATAGCATGTAAATGTATGTGTGTTAGTCACGGATTAGAGCGCTAATTAGGAAATTTATACGTCCACAGCAACACAATCGATTAAATTTACGATCTGTTAAATACAATACCTACCTACTAAATAATCAATACATAATAATGTACCTACATTTATTGCATTCTACAATGTGAAGTTAGCGGGTAGGGTAAATAAGAATATACATTAGTTTAGCAGAATTATGGGCCCTGTTGCGCACATACTGGCACACTATGAAGACCTTAGTAAAGTATGTTTAAGGTATCGTATTGTACCGACTTTTTCTTGACAGATGTTGTGTGCTAAGCTTTTTATACATCAATCAAAGGTATGTTACGAATAAATAATGTAGGTAAACTAAATATAAATTGTAGGAAAATAGTAGCAGCGACAGTTTGCCCCGCACAAACAAGGGAGCACACATTTCATTAACCTTTACAGTTTAATCCGCAATCCATCGGATTCATTCGCCTTTTTTCGATAGTCCTTCACAACGTATATCGTTCTGGCAAAGCGGCTGATCAAATCAACCGTTTATTTGTACGGGGGCACTCGGCCGTGGCGGATATCGCGGATATTCCCGCGGATATGCGGATATTTGCGGTGTGCATTCGGGATTTAAATAGCGCGCTTGTGTATATTGGTGTGCGGCACTAATTTGTAGTGTCCTGTTAATTCTCTGACATTCTGGTCACATTAGCTTGTTGTGGTCGAAAATTAGGTTTGCTGTCGACACTCGACCGTACGTACCTTTATCAAGATCGATTCGTTGATTGATGGCTTGCAGCCGGAGCGAT